ATTCCTTGGGTGATAACCACATGACCAAGAAAACTTATGCGATTGAGAAAAAAATCGCACTTCTTGAATTTGGCATATAATTTTTCCTTCCTCAAAGTATCAAGTACTACTCGGAGTTGTTCCTCATGCTATTTCCTATCATTGGAGTACACAAATATATCGTCAATAAATACTATGAAGAATGGTCCAAATACTGATGAAACACTCGGTTCATTAGGTCCATAAATACCGCTGGAGCATTGTTCAAATCGAAAGGCATGACAGTGAACTTGTAATGCCCATAACGAGTCCTGAAAGTAGTTTTTGGTATATCGCTTGCCTTGATCTTCAGCTAATGATACCCCAACCTCAAGTCAATCTTTGAAAACACCGTTGCATCCCTTGATTGGTCAAATAAGTCTTTTATTCTTGGTAGGGGATATCTATTTTTTTATAGATAAATGATTCAATTCTCGATAGTCAATGCACGTCCTCATACTCCCATATTTCTTCTTCAAAAAAAGTACTGGAGCACCCCAAGGAGATACACTCGGTCGAATGAAACCTTTTTCCAACAACTCCTCCAATTATAACTTCAATTCTTGGAGTTCTTCGGTGCTATTCGGTACGAAGCCTTAGATACTGGTGCTACACCAGGAACTAAGTCAATTGTAAATTCCACTTGCCCATCTCGTGGAATGCCGAGTAGGTCATCTAGAAACACTTCTGTAAAATCTTTCACAATGTTAATATCTTTAACGGTTGTTTCTACATGTTTGGAACCATTGATATTAAGTAAGAATCCTTGACATGACTCCCTTCTCAACATCTTCTCCGCTTTTAGGGCTGACACAAGGCGAGGTAGAGTCTTGGACTTTGCTTTGAAGAAACGAAACTATTTTTCTTCCGGTCTATAAAATAACACTTCATTCTCATGACATCGAATGGTTCCATGATTGAGTCCCAACCAGTCCGTGCCTAAAATAACGTCGAAATCTTTCATCTCCAAAAGATATAAGTCCGCCAATAGTATATTTCCATCAATCTTTAACTTCATAGCTCTAGTCATCTGATTTGTACAAAGAGTTCTCCTTGAATAGATGCTAACCTCTAATGCATTATCCATTTTCACACATGCAATGTCATACTTAGTGACAAATGATATAGAGATAAAAGAATTTGTAGCCCAGAGTTAAAAAGTACATAAGCAGGTACATCAGATAATAACAGAATACCTATTTTTGTAATTATGATGTTAGACTTAGTGATGGGGAATACAAAATCAAGAACATAAACAAGTACTTCACATAATAACAAAATACCTGCTATCACATTCTGATCTTACTCTGCCTTATGCTGATTTAATGCAAAAACTCGAGCCTTTTCGTTCTTGTTCTTATCTTGATCATCATCCTTCTTTCACGGAGGCTCTGTACAGTGCAAATCGATATGCCCTGGCTTACCACATTGGAAATATAAGTTCTTCCCGAATAAGCATTCACCCCTATGAGGTTTAATACACTTAGGGCATGGTGTAATACCTCCACTCAACCCACTGATACGAACTCCTGGGCTTGGCCTTTTATTCTGCCAATTACGTTTGTCCTTGCTCTGATCATTCCACTTTCTTTTTCCTAACGACTCCTCGCTCTGTTGGGCATATTGCTCAAACGTAGTCCTTTGATATGAATTAGCATGAACTCTCTCCAACATTTCATGATATGAAGTGAAATGATGCGACATAATGATCATGTTGATTTTCAGGCCTTGTCCATTTTCAAACATCCCGATCTTCTTGACTTCTGTATCTACTAAGTACGGGGCGTACATTGAGAGCTGTTCAAACTGTCTCTCGCAATCAGTAAACTACATGTTTTCCTATCTGAGTTGCAGAAACTCTGATTCCTTAAAGTCTCTCAAAGTTTGTGGGAAGTATTTTGCCATCACTTCTTCCTTAAATTGTTCCCTAGTCAGGTTATGCTGTTGCTCTTCGGTCTTAGTACGTGAGACAGATTCCCACCAGTGATCGCTGCTCCAATCAACATGAATTCTGTGCATAGTACCTTTTGTGCATCCATGCAAGAAATATGTTAAAAAATGCGCTCCAGACCTCTAATCCACTCCTCAACCGCCAGTGGGTCAGAATTTCTATCGAAAGTAGGAGGCTTGTACCTACAAAACTGCTCAACCACGAAAATAGCTCCAAGGATAGATAGAGGTGCATCCTACTGTGGTAGTCCATTTTGAGGTGGAGATACTTGATTCTGTCTGGTCAACTCTTGCACCGCTTGTAAGAAGTCACGCATCAAATTTATGTTGGTAGGTGGTGTCATTTCCTAAAATTTAACATTAAGTCACTCATCATTTATTAGTACTAAGTCTAAGATGTTATACATATTTTATTGTAATACATATCGTAAAGTTGATGAGGAAATAAATATGCGTGTCTTATAAAATCAAAGATAAGACAATTTAAAATATTTAAGTTATGTAAGGTCTAAGTACATTAATTTTCTTACCCTTATACATACCTTAGAGTCGTCGGATGGTGGCCGATCGGTGGTCGTTGAGTATTAAACGTCGTTCTTATTTTTTATTTATTTTTTAGAAGTAATTAATAATATGCAAACACAATGAATAAGATACATGCCTACAGGTTACAAGATCCGCTATTAGCATAAAATATTAAATATAATTCAAACAAGCATTGTAACCTTCGATATTATACAATTACAGTTATTATACCATATTATTATTTTTTATTTCTTTCATTTATTTATTTATTTCTCCTGCTAAAAAATAAGCATCATTATACAATATTCATCCATATAACTGCAATGTAGACTCTTGCCAACATACTCTTTTGCCATATGTATTATATGCAACATATTAGAACATTGAGTTTTGTGTGCAAATACCATAATAATTTTTTTTTTTTTTTAAACATTGTAAGTTTGTAACCATTTCCCAATCATCAATGCCACCCGTTTGAACCCCATTAACTTGTGCACCTCCCATTTTACTTGTAATGCCATTCTTACTCTTGCCATCATTCAACAAGATAGCAAAACTAGGGGCACAATTGTCATTTTATGCACAAACCCTTGTGAACCACAAAAGTGTACTGTCAACTATCATTTATATGTGGGGCCTGGCAATGTTTGAAAAAGTTGGAAATTTAATGATTTTTCTTGGGGCAAACGAGGGATGATTTCCAGTAATGTAATTTGACTTAAACATTAATCATGATTAGCACTTTATTTAATCATAACCTATGACCATAACTACTTGAATTTTTTTCACTGTTCACACAGTACCGTCGTCACTGTTCACTAACGAATAATTTTTTTTTTTAATTCATAATCACATAAAAAAAATCATAATGGGTCTACAGAAAAATAAATCTAGGCTCTGATACCAAACTATAATGACCCAAATTTTTTTAATTTTCAATGTGCAATGCTTATTTAGGTAGACAAGGATTTTCTATCTATAATATTTATATCACCTAATAAAGCCACACATTTTCCCATATTGGTGGCTCTATTTACTAATTTGCCTTTTATAATTTCAATTCAAATAAGGCAATTACCAAATTCTCGATCAAGGATGACTGACATCATGGGAGCAAAAGATCATGATTATTGTGTACTATCCCAAGAAACTTGCCTATGTGTGTGTGTATATATATATATTATCATTCATACAAAAAAAATACTATTTTATTCCAACCCTATCCAACTACACGTGTTGCCATTCTTAAAAAAATTAATAATAATTATAAACAATTACTAATAAATGACAAGGTCTATAAACTTCAATATCTAGAGTCTAACTTATCTTAATCACCTTTTTCTCGGGACTAATATATATAATTAATTATGAGCTATTCAATGAGCCCAATATTGATATACTTATACTTGCTCTTTTGAAATTTAATTATTCGCCTCATATAGAATTATGAATTTAAAACATATTTCATTTTAGTCCTCATATTTTTAAATATAAAAATAACATATAAAACAAATATATTTTTATTCTAATTTTTTTGGGGGGCGTTACAATTTGAACTTCCACATATGGAGATTCAAGCCACTCATACAACGATAGCTTGATAACACAAATATTTGCAAATAAGAGATTAGCAGTTGAATACTTTGTTCTTGAAAACAACTCAGTAACCTCAAAAAACATTTAACTTCTTACATATTTCTTTTTCCAAATCTCAATTACCATCACTAGGCAAATATTTATACCGTGATTCCCTTTGTTTCAAATGAGGAAAAAATCCTTATAAATCAAAGCATTATGAAACATCAAGTATGTGGTATTCCACCTTGTTTTACAATTAAGCACCAATTTTTTCTCCCAATCAATTTTCAATTGACATACAAAAAGGTCAAATTTTTCAGATATCTTTGGCGTGGTTGTCCAATAAGCAACACTATTACATATTTTCTCAACACTACCACCAATAATCTCCAACCATTCTTCACAATAAGATTTAATATATGTGCACAACACCTCATATGGAAAAATTCACCATTCAATACAAGAGAACGAGTACAAAGATGATTTAACACAATATTGATCATAGCATCATTTGTGGTGCAATTATCTATGGTCAAAGTTAGTAAGTTACGATCAATATTTCTTCCAGCAAACTGTACAATAGAGTTTTTGAAAGCACGTCACATATATAAAACTAAGTTCGTTCGAGAGCAAATTAAATCAACTAAAAGAATATAATTTTGGTAAATTATGAAAATAAGTGAATGTAATTTTTTACTGCACCTCATTATTCGACTCTATAGTTTCCAAGCATCATATATGAAATGAGTAGTGATAACCATGAATCCATTCTTTTGATTAGAAGAGGCCCACATATCGGTAGTGATCGAAATTCAACTCTCAATCTCTCAACTGCAATCTTGCTTTTTTCTTTCTCGTATTCATAGATCGTCAAAATGTCGCTCTTCAAAGTGTTACGAGAATGAACTTTAAATAATGGTTGCAGGTCGTGCAAGAACTCTCGAAATCGAATGTGATCAATCGAAGACAAAGAATGTTCATACAAAATCACCATTTTTGCGAGACTATACCTACACTTATCTGGATCGAAAGAGTAAGTACCCATTGTGACCTTACCACTCGCAGTATCCTTTTTTAAATTTAATGTTGCTTGGCAAATATCATCTTGATGACGAAATACACATCTCTTCAAATGATCATGCAAATGCTTTGTACTATTTTTTGTGTCACCCCTAACTGTTTCTTGTAATGATTGCATATAGCCCTCCATTCCACACTAATATTTTATCTTTTGTAGTGCTCTCAAATAGCTGAATCAATTTCCTCTTTCGGGAAAATAGTTCTCCAATATCACACTTCTCGTCACTTAGGCTTATTAGCCTTTCATCCACATTGGTAACGGTTCAACTGGATCTTCTTGTGGGACATTGCTCACCGATATATTGGTCATGCTATATTTCTCACGTATTGGTCCTAATCCAATACTTCCAGTACTACTTGGGCCAGACATCTGCGTAAATAACAAATGGCATTAAACACGATGAATTTTATCCAAATGTGGGAAATTTTATGAACACTGAATGACCACCACATAACTGAACCATGTCATCTTCATACACCCTCACATGCGTATTAAGATTATTTTCCCCAAACGTCTACTGCATCCAAATACCCAAAACTTTTTCATACATCGAATTCGTAACAATCCCAAATCAATAGTTTTCTTTTAACTACCCTACTAGTTCAAATCATTCATTAAAATGTTTCCAGAAATGCCCCTTAATTGTTCTTGAAAAAATAGGGTCCATCAAGTTTCAACTGCTGTCATAGTATATGAATTTGGAAATGACAACTACTGAGAAAATACTAAATTGTTCTTTTAGAAAATCAGTGAATGCATCCATATGCCACGTCTCTAGATGGTTAATCTATGTATGTGCACGTGTATGATAAGTTGAACTTACACCTTAGTGGCTTGAAATTAAGAGCTCATGAAGAAAATTCATAGAAAATCCACAATTCAAGTCATAGCACGTGGGGTTGTTGATCTTCATATCACACGGCATAAAATTTCAGAGAAAATGTGGTATCTTATTGTGGTGTAGTTTATCCTATTCAGAAAAGCTAAAACTGAACATCCACATCACATGTTAACCACACAAATGCTTTCCTATAAAGATTCAATCCACATATTTAAATACACTCAACACTTTGAAACACAAACAAACTTGCACCACCACAGAAGACATCTTTAATCTAGTAAATCAATCGTTTCAATTAAATAGCCAAGAGAGAATATACATCTACATCAATAAGTATGTTAAAAAAAGCACGAAAAGGTATAAACGAAAGATAGTACCATGTAGAAGATTCCAAAACGTCAGTGCAAAGCAACTTCATATAATAATAAAATGCACTCAACCTCACAATCGATTCTCTTAAAAATTATGAATATTTTAGAGCTTAAAGTAGACAGTGGAAAATTGTGAATAAGTAACAACTCACCAAAAAAATGAAAAAAGTAGATTCTCTATGTTTTTCTCTTTTGTCTATGAATTTCACAGTAAATTATACTTAACAACCACACAAGAATCACAGTTTTAGGTTTGGGAATTGGAGAATTGAACCTTTGGGTTTATGAAATGAAGTTTGGGCCTGCGGGTGTGGAACCGCCTGTAGATCGAAGGGAGTAGATTGAATTGACTGTGGACCGTGTGTAGTGTGATCGATAGATGAATAGGCTGCAAACAAATGGTGGTGCCAACGATGAGAATCACAGGATGTGGATTAAGGTTATGGGAGGAGATGAAGGGTATGGCCGTTTGGGTTAGAGTATAGAGATTGTGGATTGTTTGGTGGGATGGGAAAATTGTGGCTGAGACCCAAGACGGAGCGACGACTTACGCCCAGCCCAATCAACCCGTCGAGATGGGTATTGTTTGCCCCATTCGTGGTGGGATGGGATGGATTTTTCTGCCATCTCTAACTCCTTTTGAAGCACTCGGCTGTAAAGAAATTGCTCCAAGAAAGGTACAAATTAGATCAGCAATTGAAAGCTGACTTATCACAAACGAAAGCAAGAAAGAAACAATATGCTGATAAACATAGATCAAAAAAGATCTTTTGAAGAAGGAGACATGTTTTTCCTTAAGTGACATCCCTATACACAACAGTTGTAGAGAATAGGCCAAGCCAAGTATAAAATACTTTGGCCCATACCAAATTACGAAGAAGATTGGCATAGTATCTTTTCAATTTGCCCTCTAGCAAGATAAAAACTACACCCAATCTTCCAAGTATCATTGTTAAAGAAAAAGTTGGGAATAGGCTATGCTAATATTGTAGCTTCCTAAAGGAGGCTAACCACTTCAGCCAGAACACCAACCACTGTCTATATTACAAGCCTGATTAGTGAAATTTTGAAACCACATAATAGTAACCACACAACAGTGCAGTGGCTTATTCTTTCGTATAACATCTCCATATATAGCGCGATGTAGGAAGATATCGACTAGATTAAAGCCCATTTTTCTCAGTGTAGATCTAGGTGACAAGATCAAGGTGAGAAGATAGGTCGTCATGCAAAGAATCTAATAGGGAAAAAAAGGAAGAAGAACCAGGCAGGAGAAGAAAAATAGAAAAAGATGAATAATGATAAATAACTAAAAATTCAAAATTCGAAATAACGCCGTTTCATTAAATAAAAGGATACTGCATTTGGAGCCAACCATATTTATACTTACCATATTGGGATTTACACTACCCTATTTACACTCACTCATCGTTTATCATTACCACAAGATGATATCGTATTTTCAACTCACCGTATTTGCATTCGAAAGTTGTAATAGTTTAATTAAAGTGTTTCTTTAAAAATTTTGTTAGAAGAATGTCTTCCATATATTTAATTTGATTCTATATTGAGCTCATCTAGTTCAATTAATCTCCATTGTTGATTATTTGCGAGGTTGAACTATGTTGATAACTGTAGTTTTTACACTTATTTGGGATCCAAAATTATGATATTTTGGTATTCTTTGGACGGATTAGTACTTAATTTGTTGTTTATTGCTTTTATTAGGAAAAAATCATGCTTCGATGAAAAATTGGAATAAAGCACGGAAAAAGGCTAAAATAAAGCAAATCCAAAATTCGATGACTAAAATGCAAATACTCAAAAGTTGTTTCGAACCTCACGATGAAGATTTGAGAGTGCTTAAAGTCAATTGGATGAGGAAAGAAATCAAATGGATGAATTATAGTCAAAATATTATCATAGATCAACTCTCAGCCGAAAAAGATATGCTTCGAATTTTCAGCCTCACCCAATTTTGGCATAGTAAACATTCGAATTGGAAGGACCTGATGTTTCTAGAAGAATAGTAGCCCTCTGAATAAGATTTTGAAATGCATTTTGAGTCACCTCAATTGGATATCAAGAAAGAAAGTTATAACAAAAATACTGAACATTGTTTGGCTATCAAAAATTAGGCATGGCGCTCGCCTTCAAACAAAACAATGGAGCGACTGGGGCACTCAAGGCCCCTAGGCGCGTACCCTAGATTATACTAGGCATGCGCCTCAGTGGTAAACGGTGAAAAATATAGGTTTCCTTATTTTATTTTGGTAAGCAACCTCCTCAATATCATATAAATAGGAGAACACGTCTGGACATAATTTTTATCATTGAAAACCTCCATTTGATCTCAATTTCATCATATTCTACACATTTTGGAGGTGACGAACAAGTCTATACATCAATTCCAGCCGAATCATACAAGGATTTTGAAGATTCATAGCCTAGTTTCAAGATTTAAGCCAAAAACGTGGATTTCTCCTACTTCTTCCATCTTTCTTATTTTCGGGTGATATTTTTCCAATCATTGTTGTGTAATATAATTATAAGATTGTTAGACTAATTTTTTCATTGTATTTGATGAAAGATAAACCCTATTGTTGTTTATTTTAATTCAAAATAATTGGTTTAGTATTTTTTTTTCTTTGGTTTTGCATTCCCATTGAACTATTTGATTGCTTGATCACCAATTAGATAGTAAGTTGCTTGTTTGTATGAATACTCACAATAAGTTTAGAATGCGGTAAAATCAACACATGGACAACAGATATTAGGAATAATATCTACGGCATGTGCAATCACATGTGATATATCCTAAGAACCAATGCATATTTTTCATGTGACTTCGGACTAGGAATAGGATTAGGTCGTGCTAAACATAGGTTTAATATATCTTGGAAAAGAATACTGAATTAAAGTAAATTATCGATTGTCTTGAGTGCATCGATTTACTAAATTACAAATTAAGAATTGAATTAAATGATAATAGGGGGATTGGAAATATTCGCATATTAGGTAAATAGTTTATTCGATTTCTTAGTTTAGGATTAGAATAGAAAACATACAAATCACAACTTCTTTTATATCACCACACCTCAAATTTGATAAAAACTATTGAACTAGATATTAGACCTTATTCCTCATGGTAACGAAACTCTTAACTCACACATTTTATTACTTGTACAATGATCTCGTACGCTTGTGGGTTTTATATGAACAATTTTTTGGCGTTGTTACAGTGGAATAATGGATTTAATTTTAGTCCAGTAGTTTCTACTAAGTTTGATTTCTCTTAATTTTTTATTTTTATTTTGTTCTTTA